CTTTTGTGTTAATATAAGCATGTGTTTTCATTTTTGTGGGTGCACTATATGTTCTGCTGGCTCTGTGTTTGTGTTCTTATGAAGTACATAGTTGTTCTTTTGTTTCTTTTTTCTTCTGTGCACTGCACCTTTTTAAGTTTCTTCTGTAGAGCTGGTCTGGAGGCAGCATGTTCTCTTAGGGACTGCATGTCTGGGAAGGGTTTTAATTCTCCACTGCTGATGAAGTTTATCTTGGCTGTGTAGGAAATTGTTGAAATTGTTTATCTTTGACAACATTAAAGATTGAAATCCAATCCCTTCTGGCCTGTAGTATTTCTGTAGATAGGTCTGGAGAAATTCTGATTTGCCTTCTCTGGTAGGTAGTCTGAACTTTTTCTCTGGCTGCTTTTAGGATTTTTTCTTTTATACCTACTTTGTGTAGGCAAATTACTATGTGTCTAGGTTTGGTCTTCTCATAAGATGTCTTGCAGGGGTTTTCCGAATCTCTTGTACTTATATAGTCATCTCTCTAACAAGATGAGAAAAGTTTTCTTGGATGACTTCATGAAATGTTTGTTCTGAGGTGGTCTCCATTTCCCTTTCTATTTCAGGGATATCGATCAGACATAGGTTTGGCTTCTTGATAAAATTGCACATCTCTTGGAGAGTTTATTCTTTCTTCTTAAGTTATTTTCTCTATTTTTTTTAAAACAGATTGCATTAATTCCATATTGTGGTCTTTCAACTCTGAGATTCTTTCTTCTGCTTGGTTAATTCTGCTTCTTATGCTTGTCAGTTTGTTGTTTATTTCTTGGGTGGAGTTTTTTTCCATTATTTCCAAATATGCTTTCCTGAGTTTGTCCAACTTCGTTGCAATTTCATTTAGTTTTTGCCCTTACTTTACTTGATTTTTATTCATTCTGTCCATCCATTCTGATCTCTGTAAGTATCTTATGAGTACAGTCGTTCTTGGAGATATCCATTGTTTGTCTTTCAATACCAGTTTTCTAAGGTTCATTTCTTTGGAGTTCTAGAGAGTACTAGTGATTTTTCATGGGTTTTCCATCATTTGTGGCAGTGTTCTTGTCTTTTTCTTTAATTCCTTAGTGAAAAATAGAGATGCAATCACTTCTGTTATTTGCTCTATCTCCTGTCCTTCCCTGAGCTGGGCCTCTGAATATGTTTGATTATGAAATACAGCTGAGGGGGGTGTTGTGCTATCTCTTTACAATTTTAGGCACTTACTAAGGAGGGGAGCAGAGAGGACATGATCCATTCTACACTCATATGAGTCTGTTTTTAACTTTTCAAACATCCCTAAAATTGGGACTGTTACCTGTATTGGAATGTAAAGATGACTGGAGATAATATATATAAAAGATCTACATACTTCCTCTACACATGGTTGGATCCAAAAATATAATAATTTGAAGGTACCAATGACTTCATATCTTATGTGATCTGTTATTTTTTAAAATTATACCAACTTTCTCAAATATTTTTATAGCATTCTTGCCACATAGAAATTGTCCCGGGGTATCCTTAGTTGCATTTGAAATATTTCTGAGGGATAATGGATACAACTTTGCAAGTGTATAATTATGTCTGGATTATCAAAGAAATACATCACAGATAATATATATTGAATTTTTAGTCTACTGAAAAACGGTGTTTAACAAATGCTCTTCCTAACGGACTTACTTTTGATGAATGGATTTTCATATCTAGAGGTCAAAGAGACCAGACAACTAGACAAGTAAACGTTCTTCCTTGGCCAAGGCGCCAGCATCTAGCTTGGGTTCTTAATGTGTCTTCTTTCACAACACAGAAAGTCACACCAAACTAGTTAGCGCTTCTCAGGTAGTATCTTTCAGAAAGAAAAAGGGAGTTCACAGTACCACACAGAGGGCCTTCCTTTATTCCCAAAGCCATACCTCCAGAGAGTTCAAGGTTTCGCTCACCCTATTGATTGGGATGGAGTGGATACCAATTTTATTCATTACCAAATGATAACATCTAAATGATATTAGAGGAACTAGGGATATCAACTTTATCTGGCATCAGAGAACACAGGGGTATAATGGAAGGAGTTGTGGACGAGAAGCCAGAGGATTGTGGAACAGTCTCTAGTTCATGCGGTCTTCATTTATAAAATGATGATGAGGAACTAGGTGGTCTCAAAAGTGCCTTTGAGTCCTAAAATTCTAATAGAGCCAAGTCAACAACACTTGAAACCAAATATGATGCAACAGAATCGCACTGCTGGCAAAAGGAACATATGCTATATTAAAACGCCCTTATTGGGCGTTTTTGCCAGCTTATCGCTGTATTTATGGAATTTGTTCTCACTGCATTTCTCATTAAAGTGGGACCGATGGTGAAGGCTTTAAGTAATGTGTTCATTACCAGACCTCATATCAGTAATGGCTATTCACTGGAGCAGTGGACTGTGCAAGTGAGTAACAAATAAATCCTTCTCCAGAGGCACCCACAACCAGGGCGATATCTATCAACCTATGTGAGGATGTTCATTTTTAATTTTTCACTTCCTTTTGGAACTCTTGCCCTTTTCCCTACAATACAAAGGCCCAGGACCCCCGCCCTCCATTCTGACTTGCCGTTCCCACCTAGGTCGCCCTTCCTCACAGCCTGTCTTCTCAGTATTCCCTTAAGCTGAGATGTTGCCAAGCTTTGTTTCTTCTAGTTGTATTATTACTTGTTTCACAAATATAAAATATCGTCAAACCAGATTTTTCAAACAAGAAAACTCCTGTACATTGTCCCTCCACATCATTCCCACTCCCCTCCACCTTCCCAAGATTCCAATAGGCTCTACTCTCGGAAGTCACTCAGCTCGAGTGTTCTGGGAGGCTGTCCCATGCCCTGGCTAAGTCACAGGCCCCCTGTCCACTTACTCTGTCCCTGAGCTCCCGGAGAAAACCCAGAGTGATGGGCCCATGTCAAAGCAGGGAGGTAGGTCATCACTTCTCAGGAATGTCTGGCCAGGAGGTGAGCCATTGAACCTTATTCTGGGGCACATTCCCCCACCCTCTACAGAGCTGCCAGTGTGCATAAAGGTCCCCCAGGAAAATGAAAAAAGGGAGATCTGGGGAGTTCCTTGAGCCTCACACAACCCAGATATATGACGTTGTCATCTCCACAAAAAGAGACTATCCACTCATTTACAAAGGTGTATCCAGTCCCTCATTTTGTGCAGCACATGGCAGGTACTCATAAATTTACTGAATAAACAGTTGAGTATATACAGCCCAGAACTCTGAGATGTACTTAACATCTAGTACAGATTTCCTGAGGTGGCTAGGAAATAGAAATCATCTTCCACTGTTCTTTTGTTAATTTTCAGGCACTGACAGGTGGCTACTCAACCTGACTCACTATTACTGTGGATTTGAGATGGAGTGATGTCACGTCTAAACTGAAATTTCAAGCTCATTAATCAAGTTGTTTAGTTAAATAACCCTTATTGTTTCCCAGAATTATCTTTCTTTCCTAAAGACAGATTCTTTGTGCTAACTTAATTTGTTAAACAATTTATTGTTGAATAATGTATTCTAACACTTCCAAGTACTCAACCAAATATTAGTTTTTCAAAAACATCATAATTTTAAACTGTCATCCTTTGATAAGCCAACAGCTTAAGGACATTCTAGCTCAGTGATTTTGTTAAAGTATAATACTCAGTGACCCACTACATAAGGCAGATATAGCTGAATATTATTATTATTAGATCCACTTAATATTGGGCTTATTTAATTTTTGTAATTTCCTCTAGGACTTTAAGACTACAATTCAACCAAATTCACAGTGTTATAAAACTTTAATTTTAACTTCTTGGGAAATATTTTTAAAATAATCAAAGTTCCTTCAGTAAGAAATCTGAATATAGAAATGTGGTGTTTTTGAAGTGACATTTATACAATGGCATGAACTCAGACAGACTCATAAAGCAAATTAAAGCTAGGAAGAAGATAGGGTAAATCACTGAATTAATACAATAAACATAAAAATGAATTGGGCTATATTTATGAGAAGTCAAAGCTTATTTTCTTATCTACTCTCAATTCAGTTTTAGAGATGCCAATTTTCTCTCTGTTCTGCTATTAGAAAAGACTATTCATCGATTTGTCAGAATTCTAAATTCTAAGGCATGTATAATTAAGTTTGTGTGTTCACTTTCTGTGTTTATTTGGAGTACCAGCTACTTTAAGGAACACTGCCTGAGACCTCTTACAATTTTTGTTCTATTATTACTCTTCTCTAAATACATCTTTTCAAAGTCCTAATTTCCATGGAGCGATTTTTCTTAATGTGAACTGTATTTCTCCTAGTGAAACCACAGGGTTTTTACAAAATAAAGTGGTCTTGGGTGGCCAAAAATGGACACCACACCAACTCTAATATATAAAAATGCTATGAATACAGGAATTGATGACACTGTTACTCCCAGCAGGCAGACTTTGGGATGGCTCCCATTATTTTCCATTTCCATTATTTTCATCCACTTATTCACTTGGCTCCCTTTTTTTTTTTTTTGGAGTCAGAGTCTCACTCTGTCACCCAGGCTGAATGCAATGGCACACTCATCTCAGCCTGGACCTCCTGGGCTCAGGCAATCCTCCCACCCCAGCCTCCTGAGCAGCTGGGACTACAGGTGCATGCCACCATACTTAGCTAACTTTTTTTTTTTTTTTTTTTTTTGTAAAGCAAAGGCTTCTCCTTTCTAAGACACACATTCACGAGAAAGACAAAGTGACAGACAATGATATGACTACAGTATTTGCGGACAGGTAAATCCATAACCACAGGATAGATCATATTAAATGTCTAAGGGAGAAAACTAACATTACTGACTACTTCTTAAGACGAGGTATGGAAAAGAGTACTTTTATATACTTCACGTTCTCTTATTTAATGTAAGAACTTGTCTACTTGAGTGCTCTTTTGTTTCATGCTCATCCTAGCCCTGTCAGGAAGAAATTCCTCTGCTTCTCCAAAGTTACCTCTTCCATCCTCCGTACAAGGTTCTCCAATTCTGTGATTTGACGGTGTTTTTCTTCAAGCTTTTCAGCAACTTGATTCAGATTTTCAACATGTTGTTTCAACGCCTGTTCTTTCTCAAGCTTGTTAACCTTCGGTCAGAAAAAACAGTTGTCAAACTCTTGCTTTTATTAAACGATACACGTATTATCTCCCTCCACAGTTTTCTAATTAGCCAAAGTATTAAGACTTCACACTTGTTTGGAGTTGGATTTCTGATTTCCGCGTTCCCTTCAAAAGAAACCTGATGGACTAAACAAAGTTAGATCAATAGATAATTAAGACATATAAATATTCTTCCTAGAATATTTACCTTTGTTACCATAGAGCATACTTCCTGAAGGGGTGTGAGAAAGATACCAACTTCAGAAAAGCTCATTTGTGGCGTTTTTCCAAAAAGAAAAAATTATCTAAAACAGAAAAACAAAATCTTATATTTTCAACTAAAAATGTTTCCTTTTTAACCCCAAAGCAGAATAACTCCCTGCAGCGTGTCACGGGGCGGCTGCATGGGCACCGAGCAGGCTTTGGGCTGATAAACCCCGGAGGAAGAACCCACCTTGAGCAGCAGAGGCCACACCGGGAGCGTTTCAAGCGACTCGGACTGCTCTGTGTGTGGGCTTCACAGAATCCGAGATGTCACAGTGAAGAATTCAAGTGCCCGGAAAGACCAAGTGGGCGTTCCCGCCAGGCCACTCCAGGCTGGAGCTGCGCCCCCAGCCCGGGGACACGGGCATCCTGTCCCCGCAGACCCCTCCGCCCGCACAGTGCTCCTCCCGCCAGACCTGCTTTTCTTCACCCTCTCGTGTTCTTTGTCGGCTTCCTGTGGGAGTCCGCCACCCTCACCCTCACGGCCTGAAGCATGTCGCCTAGGCGGTGGCTCTCCTACCGTGCTTCCTGGGGACCGTCCTAGGGTCCAATCTGGTAGAGACCCATGCACCCCACCTTGGCAAGGGTAAACTTCCCTGTTAGCTGTTTATATTGTAAATTTCAGCAAACACACACACACATGTTTTTCCCCCCTCCTCCAGTTCTAGAATTCATTTTTTTATTGTTCCTAGTATACATACTTCAGATTTAAAAACAAGTGGACAAAAAGGTACATGTAGGAAGCATGTACTTTTTAATTTTTAAAATGTATATAGAGATTAAAATATGAAACATAATTGTATATACTTAAAAACTATATGACATGTACATAGTTTTAGTTAGTTTGTTTTCATCTGAAGAATGTATTTTAGGACTAAAACAATTTTGAAACAATTTGTCTAGTGCTACTCTCTCATTCTAGGGACAAGGACACCCAAGTCCAGAGAGGAAGAATGAATGACATTGTCTGGGTCATCCCATGAATCAAAGGCAGAACCAGAAGAGAAGTCACTGGCCAGGATCCACGGGGCCAGCCCTGATTCCCAGGCAGGGTGGCACTTCTTCCCCTGACCCATGCTCACAGGAGCTCTGGGCAAGACCAGTGACACAATAGCACGGCTACAGCCGGGTGTCCAGTGAGGCAGGGGCGGGCAAGACTGCACAAAAGACAGCACCTGCCTCTTCCCCGAGCTCGCCAGGGTCACTTGGCCACTGACTGCTTCATGTCAGGCTCCTCCAGAAAGAGGGCCTTGAACCACTCAGGTGGGTTCTGTTAGTCCCCTAACAGAAAAGCCACGAGTCTGGTACCTGGAGCAAGTGTTTACTGTCCTGGTGCTTTTTCCTCTCTTCTTCAGACTGTGTCCTGTAGTGTTCAAATAATCTCTGGGCCACGTTTCTCAGAGCCTCGGCACCTGCTTCTCTGGAGGCTTCCAGCTAGGAAAAAAGGCCATTATACATGTTTTGACATTTACAACAAAAAGAGCTTAAAGCAGAACAGCTTGACGGGCAATTAAAAACACAGGCCAGCAGGGCTCGGTGGCTCAGCCTGTCATCCCAGCATTTTGGGAGGCCGAGGCGAGTGGATGGCCTGAACCCGCGGGTTCAAGACCCACCTGGGCAGGCGAGACCTCATCTCTACAATAAATCAAAAAGAATTAGCCAGGCGTGGTAGCACGCACCTGTAATTCCGGCTACTCGGAAGGCTGAGGCGGAAGGATCGCCGGAGCCCACCAGGTCCAGGCTGCGGTGGCCGGGAGCGGCCACTGCACTCCAATCTGGGTGACAGAGTGAGACTGCAACTCAAAAAAAAAAAAAAAACAAAAACCACAGGCTGGAACTGCACCATTTGTACCTTCATACACAATGGAAGGAGAATAGACACTGTTATTCGGTAAGGGGAAAATGTTAAATAAGAAATCCCCGATTTAGAGGGGTTGTCAATACAGGCAGACTTGCCCAGAATGCCAAACCAGTGCTCCATGGGCAACGATGCCCTGAAGTTACAGACCTCACTCTTTGGAGAACTCTGGGGTGCCTACCAGCTTACATACTTATCTGCAAGCCTTTTATCATTAATGCCCGTAACAGTGCTAAAAGCTGCATCTTTCTGAAATAGATGTGGGACAAGTTTAAAGTATTAAATAAGGCAATAAAGCTAAAGTATCATGAATCTTTGAAGGTTTAATAAGACAGTAATCAAAGATGGCTACAAAGATTTACCTGCCAAAATATTCATTGCAGGACCACATATAAAATAAACCCAAAAAAGAAAATCTAAAGCATTCAAGAGTAGATAAATTACGCAGATAGCAAGATATTTGACTATTAATACTATAATTAGTATTTGTTAAATATGGAATTTTTTAAAATTATTGTGGTAAGAACATTTAACACATGATCTACCTTCATAACAAATTTCTAAGTGTACAATACAGAATTATTGACTAGAAGTACCATGTTGTACAATAGATCTCTAGGACTTAATGAGCTTCCATGACTGAAATGTATAACTGTTGAACTTCCGTAAGATGCTCTAATAACAAAAGTAGTCTCCAGAATCAAACAGTGATATGCAATTTGTGAAATATAAAAATGTTTACCTACATATGTGAGTGTGTGTGGGTGTCTGTCTGCTTTTATAGATCCATGAACGTAACAATGTATCCTATTAACTCAAAGCCTCGAAATACAAAATGTGAAATTTCTCCTGATAGTCCTACCTTGATTTTCAACATTTGATTTTCCTTGTTCATTTCTAAGAACTGCAGATCTTTCCCTTTCATCTTTTCCATGAGCAAATCCAAACTACAAGAAGAAGGATCCATTTCAGAATCAGAGCGATTTTGACTGTTTCCACAATGCTGAAATACACAAACATGGAAATCACAGACCTGACTACTCTTTTTCCTACACAAACTTTGACAACAATAATTATCACTTAGTATAGTATTATGTATATCATAAAGGACTCAGGTCAGCACAAATAAAATAAATCTTTTGAAAGTCAAATAACAGTGAAAATTCTAAATGAAGCAGCTGGCCTCCAAATTTGAACAGATTCTTATCTGAAAATATGCAGTTCTTTTATATTTTCTACAGTTTCAAATATAATGTTAAGTATTTCTTAGGAGATAAATAATATCCACAAGGTCAGACTGGAAAAAAAAAACTAAATTGTAGACATAAATATATTTTGGTTAAACTGCTTTACAGACTCATGTAATCAGACCTGACAGTTACAATATACAATATTTCATGTTCTATGGTGGTTCATTGTAATGACCTCAATTAAATTTCCAATCAGATATATCAGATTCATTATAACTTTATGTAAACTCTAGTTCACTAAAAATACTCTTGGTGCATAAATCTCATCCAGAATTGTGGACATAAGGATGTGGAAAAGAAATTAGAAACCATCTAACTTAACCCATCCATTTTACAGATATAGAAACTGAGGACAAGAGCCCAAGCTGATGCAGCAATTACAGAGAATGGCTGGGAGAGCTCATGGCACAGTATCTTGATTGTCCGTTGTGTGCTCCTTCTGTCTTTTCAACTTATGTCAAGTAAGACCAAGAAACGGTTACACAATTATGCACACACTACAGTTACAATAACAACTTGCATTTGTTAAGCACCTACTATGTGCCAAGTTACGTTTTAGCTGTTTTACATACAATCTTTTGTCTGAATACTCAAAATTCTAGAAGGCACTGTGTCCTTTATACAGGATGAGGAAATTGAAGATAAGAGAGTTCAACTAACACACCCAAAGTCATGCTTAAAATAACTGCCAGAACCAGAATTAAAATTCAGATTTATTTAACAACAAAGTCTGTGTTCTTGCCACTATAATATACTAACTACATTTATAGAAAAAGAAAGAATGTAGTACATACAGATAACATCCTTCCTCACCACAACTTTGCCATGATTTTATTTTTTGTACGGTACAGACCTAAGTGCATAAACAGAGTAGAAATTATTTTCTTTTTTAATTTGTTAAAGAATATTGGACAGAAAGACTCTTGTAGAAGATAGATTATGATAATCAGCAATGTAGATGTCTACAAAGGCCATAGGTCAGTGTTTTTCAAACTTTCGTGTGCATATGAATCACTTAGTGGCAAATCTGGTTAAAAATGCAGATTCTGAAAGAAGTCTGGGTTAGAGGCGTACATGCCGCATTTCAGACGAGTTCCTGGTGTGCTAAGGTGCTGAGACTGCAAACTACACCTGAGAACAGCGAAGTCCTAGACCATCGTGGCAAAATCTTTATAGGCCAGGAGACTGATGCCTTGATGCTTGGGTGATCTACTGACCTTCCATGGTTTGGGGTGGCTGAGGCAGATACATGGTAACACAACGTCATCTCCACGCCCAAGAAGCTACTCCTATCAAGTAGCCCGACAGCCTCCACCTTGTTATATCCAATGGTCAGTGTTGGGTCCTCAGTGGACCTGATGTATGGACAGTATCTGACACAGAGGTCCCTCCCTGCTTTCTGAAGCTCCTTCCTCACTTGCCTTCTGTGACTCTGTTCTCGCCTGCTTCTCCTGCGAATCTACTAGCCTATCTTCTCAGCTTTCTGGGATGGTTCCTATTCTTCCCAATATCTAAACGTAGGAAACAAACCTCAAGATTCAGTCTATAGATCTTCTCTTGCTTTCATCGACACTCCCCTGCTTGGTAATCCTCCAGTTTTAGGACTTCAAATACCATCCATAACACCCCAAACCTCTACCCTGTAGCCTGGACCTTCTAGCCCAGACCTTCAGCCCCAACTATGGAATCAAGTCTCCAGCCACCTATTGGAAAACTCCAGTTGGGGGTCTAGCAGACAGCTCAACTTGGTCAAGCCAAAATAGAATTTTCGGTCTTCCCCTCACTCCCAAATATCATCTTTTATTTTGCCCCAGTTCCAAGGCACTTTAATTTTTTTAAAAATTGAAGCTGGTTTTGTTGGCTTGGGAGGTTGATGAGGAAGGGAACTACATTTATGCATCACAGCCCATATTCTGGTGTACTCTATGGCCAGGATGTTCAGTGGACAGCACTGATGAGATACACTAGGCTCAGATGGGGTCTAACCTGGCATGACCCAGGCAGAGTTAAGGGAAGATTGCTTGACCTTAGGTATATAAGGCTGGTCTTGGGGACAGAGCGCTTAATTACTTAAGCTTATCAAATGTCTGACACAGTCCTCGCCCAACTCAGTTTGAATGCTTCAACTGAGTGTCTATTAGTGTGGTCCAGGTAAGCCTAAAAGCTTATATCTTTGTCTGGCAAATGTTCTTCGGCTGGGCTGACATCTGCCCTAGACTTTAGATAAGTAGGCCTTGTATGATACATTCAACTAAGGCCATTCCAATCTGATCCAACTAATGACATTCGTGGTTCAACATTTCGCACGTATGACCCTTAACATCTTTAGATACAAGCAAAATATTTTGATACTCATCATTCAAAGTTTCCAGGAATTTAATCATTAGCAAAAAAGTTACTTAAATAAAGTCTAAAAGGCTTTATGCTAATTTTCTAAAGGAATAAAATGTATTACCTTTTCATCTCGGTTGTGATTTGTACTGCTATGCCCTACTTCATCCTTGAACATTTGATTTCTGATCTTTTCCAGTGTAGTTCGAATCTAGAAGAGAAAAAACGTTTATGCTTTTCAAAGGCATTGAATGCCAAATGCTTTTTTTCCCTCAGTACCAGCCGCAGGGTACCTGATTTTTCTAGAAAGTAATACATACACATTGATCTCTGATTTACATAACAGCCATCAACCTAACTTGCATTTAGGCTGATATTGTTGAGATTGCCAAAAACAAGCAACTGGTCTTTATAACTCTTTCTCAGATAAACCTAACATATGATAACCTAAGTGAATATTATCCTACAAAATAATGATTATTTGGCAATTAGTACTTAATACTATTTAGTTCTATTTTGTCTATCTAGTAATTTAATACTAATTTACGGTTTAGCAATTACTATAAAACAATTACTATTTAGTAATCACTGCAAAATAATTACTGTCTAGTAATTGCTCCAAAATAATTACTACTTAGTAATTACTACAGAATAATCACTATTAAGTAATTACTATGAAATAATTACTAAGAAATGACACATTTATGCATGAAATATAAGCCCCATGTCTTGATGACCTATGGAATTGCAAGACACTCTAAGATGATTTAATTATTTGATCTGAACAAGTTAAGAGCTATGTCAGAATGTATTAAACTGTTCTAAGAAGCAGTTAAGAATATATACTTCTGACAGCCACCATCAACTGGATTCTCATAAGACTTCACATGTGTAACAGAGTAACATGCCAACATGTCATCACTGGCAATAGCTATACTGCACTGTGAACAGGAACAAGGTAATAAGAGGCACAAACTCAGCAGGAAATGTAAACGTCTACTTGGAAATACCATCAACACTCTTGAAACAACTGGAAAACATTTAAAAACGGTAGGAAATCCAGTGGTGAAAAGTGTTAGAAAAATGTGATAGGTGTTTCGAACCCTCCTGGCCTGTTATTCAAATTTACTGAGTGAAGAAAATCATTTTCCTCCAAGTGTAGAAACAGTTTCACACCCTCAAGAGAAATTACAAGATGTGTTTAAATTTCAGCTATCAAGACTGTCCTTTTCCCAATGAGGCTTGTTCCTTTTCATATGTTTTTATGGAGAGGGAAACAAAGTCTATCCATCCCTATTAGAATTTATCTTGAAAAATCATCCAATGCTAATGATTTTTGACATTCACATACCTTTTTCACATATTCAGTTTCTTCAATAATGTGAGCTGACGTAGACTCATACAAGGCAGAATTATCTTCTATCTTACTCCTTGGAGGAATTTCTGTGGTCACTGTCACTGTCGTCATTTTGAATTCTGGTTTTAGGAAAACATCCATCAGCTAAGCAAAACAGACTGTTTTGATTGCATGATTACATGGCTCATGAACCGAAAGAAGTTATTTTATCACTGTAACCAAATATAGTAGAAAAATTATAAAACATTGGTATATGTATATATTCATAAATCTAGGAATTAATTTAATATGAAAACAATACTATCCAAAACAACATTAATTAAAATTTAAAAATTAAAGAAGGAAAAACATGAAATCTCTCTTTTTAAAATTTTTTTTAAAAATAGAAAAGGGGTTTTGCCCTGTGGCCTAGGCTGGTGTGCAGTGGCATAGTTCACCAGAGCCTCAAATTCCTGGGCTCCATTGGTCCTCACACCTCTGTCTCCCAAGCAGTTGGCATTACAGGCATGTGCCACATGCCTGACTCAAAACTGCCCTTTTAATTCAGCATCATCTTAGACTGTAAAATCTCAAGAGTAGGGGCCAGGGTTTACTCATTCTACCATATTGTAAGTACTTAATGTATATCCTATCATATTGCAAGTATTTAATAAATGTCTGTGGAACTAACATAATACAATGATAGTAAAATCATGTTGTGTGTGTGTATAGAAATCTTTATACATAGTCTATAAAGGCAATTTACTGAATACATGTTTGTAATAGTAAAAGATTGGGGGGGAAAAGCCCATAAAAGAGATAAGAGATATGGTTGAATAAGCTATCAGCTGCTATAGAGCCATCATTGGGATGTATTACTGATCACTGAAAATGCATGGCCCAGAAAAGAATACATAGTATCATATTTTCTATAAGAAGGGTAGGAAATATAAATGGAAGGGGGAAAAATTAAATTAGAGTTTTGACACTGAACTATGCATATATTTCACTCAACCACAAAACAAAATAGAAAGAAAAAATAATCATCAAAAATAAAGATAAGCCGGGCTCGGTGGTTCAGCCTGTAATCCCGCGCTTTGGGAGGCTGAGGTGAGTAGATTGCCTGAGCCCGTGGGTTCGAGACCCACCTGGGCAACTTGGCGAGACCTCATCTCTACAATAAATCAAAAAATTAGCCGGGCGTGGCCGCGCGCACCTGTAGTTCCAGCTACTTGGGAGACTGGAAGGATCGCCGGAAGGATCGCCGGAGCCCAGCAGGTCGAGACTGCGGTGACCAGGAGTGCCCACTGCACTCCAGTCTGGGTGACAGAGTGAGACTCCAACTCAAAAAAAAAAAAAAAAAAAAGATAAAATGAAACAAATAACCATATCTGTGTATCAAGGAGGTGGCATGAAGGAATTATTTCCAGTGATTTAAAAACATCTCTCCCTGGGATGCTATATTCTAGGAACAAAGAAGAATGGCAAAGTAATCTTAACCAGTATTTACTTATAATATTGTTAGTGGAAATACTGGTATTTCTATTTTGAAATTGTGTGTGGGGGCACACACACTCGTGTCCACAAGCGCATACTGTACAATAAAGCCAATGAGTAACTGTGTGCACATCATGAAAAGCAAGATATTTAGCATAAAATAAAAATGAAATATAGAAGCAAAAGTGTTAGACTAAAACTTTATAATTCAAACAGGAATCATGAGTATAAGACATTGATATATATTTCTTAACTATATTTGTATATTCTACCTCTATCCACTGAAAACCTGGAAATAGTCACAATTAGCGCTCCTAGTGGTCATACTGGGATCTGAATACCATATCCGACTAAAAAGGAACTAGGGCTTTTTGGCTGATTTAAGTCTGGGCAAGAAATATACAAAGTAAGCCTGAAATATCTGGTCATACCAGCAAGCAAAAAAAGTGATCAAATATTACTTGAATATAACATATATAAAAGCCATCCTGAAGAAGAATGTCTGTGATGAATTTAAGCATATAAAAATATTAAACCCCTGAATTCATGATGACAGGAAAAAAAACCCACAATGACATTCAGTGTCTACCTTTGGAAGTTGATAAGGCAACAAGTCAATGAGATGAACCATCGGAGAGTTTCTCTCACACCAAGGCTGGCTTCCCTAGAGAGAAACAACAAGAGAACTTTTAAAATCTAGCGATGATCCATGCTGCAAAAAGACACAAAGAATTTTCATATTTCTCGGCATCACTTTGAAACAAGATAGCTTCTGGGGATACTACAAAGCCCTGCATTTATTCTTTAATCTTCAATGAAATTGAGAGAGCATGCCAAGAATTTCCCATTTTACTATAAATCCTCTTAGACAGCAGCGAGGGCTTTTGTTTGTTTCAGCTGAAGCTGACTTGGCAGCAGCGACTCTCCAAGCGGAAGTTCATCTCTCACTGGTCCTCTGAAGTCTCTTCTGGGGTCAAGATCTTGGTACCAAACAACATTTAAATGCCCGAAGAAATATACAAACAAACAGAGTTGGACATCAAGTTGGTGACATAACCACATGAACTATTTCAAGTGATTCAAAAATACATTCCAGGGACTATTTATTTCTGATATGTTATATTCTAAGAACAAAGAATGACACGACATTCTATGTTCACTAATAATATTTTTAGTGGAAATACTGGTACTGCTATTTTGAAACTATTAATACATGTCTGTGCGAGTATGTCTGGTGTCCACAGAGACAAGAAGGACGGTAGTCGGACAGGCCAGAGAAGGGAGTCTGCACACCACAGCCTGGGAGCTCATCCTAGCTTTCTGCCTGTTTGTACAGCCCATGAGCTAAGAATGGCTCTTACATCTTTTCATGTTTTTAAAGATCAGATGAAGGATAACATTTCATGACACATAAACATTATGTGAATTTCAAGTTTGGTATTCATAGAAATGGTTGAAACCAAGAAAAGAAGGATAATATTTCATGACGCATGAAAAATACAGGACATTCCAATTCAGTGCCCATAAATGAAGTTTTACCCTAACACAGTCACAGCAATTCATTCTCATACCATCCATATTTCCCTGGCATTACTAGTGGCTGGCAAACTCAGCAGAGCTGAGTAATGGTGGCAGAGAAAGTATGTGGCAAGCAGAGCCTACAAGATTTACTAGCTGACCCTCTATAGGAAAAGCTTGCTGACCTCTGGATGAGGGCATGGCGGGGATCAGGAACAGGACCCATGGAAAAACAGAGGCACACGAAGAAGCCAATCAACCCTGCCTTCCATCCACAGTCCCGTTCAGTGGGTTTACTTTCATTTTTCTTTTCGGTAAGTCACGTAGCATGTGTACATTAAACAAGAGGCACCTTATCACAGGACTGAATCACCCTCTAGAGAGGATCCCACTGCATTCCCAGAGCCTTCCGAATTTGAGAATTACATTGGGCCACACATCACACATCCACTGATATGCTCTCTTGGGGACCTTTTTCTTTCTTAAAATCGAGGAATTCTGTTTCTTAATCACTGACATTTCTGTGTGGTTGAGAAGGGGCTAGCAGCAAAGTATTCCTTTTGAAAATCAATCGACAAGCTCTGAAAACCCGCCAGACCAGTTTTGTCTGAGAAAAACCAAATAACCAAGAACTGCCAGCTTTCATGGAAATGCAAAAGAATAAATAATTCACAGACTTATCCAAAACCCCTCTTTTGAAGTTGACAGTTTACAACTCTGCTTGACGTGCATTTCCTGGAGACCATTTGTTCTTTGAAAGATCTGATTTTGCTGAGTACAACCTTGTAAATTCCAAAGAAAATGTGTAATCACTCAACTCAGACCCTCCCTTACCTGAACTGGGGTTATAAGACCCCTCTCCTCCCTTTCTGGGGGGCTCGGCCTGGGAGTGTTAGCCCGACGAGTCCGCAGAGATAAATAAAATTGCCACTTTCTATAATAAGCCTCAGTGTCACAGCCTCTCTGTCTTCCCACTACATGTGAAGACATCCCATCTTTTTCACTCACTGGCTAGGCTACCTCAAGCAAGTTACATCTCAGCCTTAACTTACCTATCTGCAAAACAGGGTGATCACACCTAGAGATAGGAACATAAGTTTGTTCTTAAAATGGCTGGTTGAAAAAGGCACGGACTGGACAGTCACTGTCGAGGGTTGCTCCTGTTATTTTATGTTATTTTTTAAATTTTTAAATTTTTATTTTTTGAGTTGGAGTCTCACTCTGTCACCCAGACTGGAGTGCAGTGGCCCACTCCAGCCACTGCAGCCTCGAC